ACACTATTAAAAGCCCGGAAATTAATAATACGAAACAAGACAAAAATATGAAATAAATACTCACATGAGGCCGGAAAAGTTCAAGCGTCGCTATTCTTCCATATATCGGGACATCCAAGATAGGCTGTAGAGAAAAAAAAACTTAGCTTAATGCATGCTAATGGTTTTTTAAATGGCAACAGTTGAGTAAAACTTATTGACTAGTTCTGTACTATAATTTTATAGGATTAAGTTTTGAGTGAAATGAGTAGATGATAATTCTTATTAGGAGACGACGTATGTGCAACGCAAAGGACTAAGTTCTCAAGTTTGAAAACTGATTCTTGGATGAATCATAACTAATTTGTTCCCAATAACGTATAAATCCCTAGACGAAAGTCAACATAACATCATCAACTACCAAAAAGGTGCAAGAGATACCGAAGAGCAACAATTTCCCCAAGAATGTCACCGGACAGTTCACATTTAAAAATACAATGATACAATTCCTGGAACCCGAGGTTTTAATTGCATGACACACATGTAAGCTATTAACTTTAAAATATCTATCAGTTTTTCTTTTACAACAAAAGAGATTGACATACCTGCAGTCCCAGAGGAGTAAGTAGCTGAATTTCAATTCGCGTACATTTCCTGAAATCAAGATTAATGAAGCCAAATCCAATCACGAACAAGATAGAACTTTGGACAATAAATCTTGCTGCAAAATAATATGATTAATCAACGAAATTTGTAATGTATGATGAACTCATTAACGAAACCCTAGCAGGAAGATAAACTCGAAATCCAATCGAAGAGAGAGAGAGAGAGAGAGAGGGATTGGAGGGTGGTGACGTACGCAGTGATGAGATTGAGCTCCTGAGGGGCGGTGAAGTTGCCGACGCAGGAGTGGGTGACGTTGGTGGGCTTGTGAGCCGTTACGACGTAGTTCCATACGCTCATCTTCTTCTGCAAACCGCTTTGGTTGGTGGTTGGTTTTGTGGAGAAGGAGGCCGAACCAGTGAGCCCTAACCAGCACCACCCTCTCTCTCTCTCTCTCTCTCTCTCTCTCTCTCTCTCTCTCTCTCAACAGTCTCAGTCGCTCTTGAAACAGACAGAAGAAATGCAACCAAGTGACGTCGTTTGGACTTATAGCCTTGTCGTTTGTTCCCGCGGATCAATTGGTGGGTTTGTCGGGACTTGGGTGCGATCCGGTTCGGCTAATTTTATGGGCGTTGGCCTGATCCATAATTTTTTTGGATTCATGACCCGCTTGGTCCGCTTTAGAAATTTTATTTAAATCGATTTCTCTTAATTTATCAGGTCTCGGATTCAAACCTTTCATTTTTTAAGTGGTGCAAATTAAACTAATAATATTTCTTGTGCTAACTGGAAGAAAAAAAAAAGAATTGGATAGACTTTTGAGTATGACTGTGATGAGAGAGAGAAACGTAGTTGTGTAGAATAGTTGACAACTTGACACAACACGCAATAATATTTATATGTTTATAGTGTGTTCTTCATAAATTATGTCCAAGTCAAATTTTACCAATTTCCATTTAATTTTTCAAATTTAGTATTTTTCTTACTTTTGGTCTTGTTTAGGGTTTTTTTTTTCCTCTTTTACAATTAGGTTGTTCTTTTTAACGAGAAATTGAAGATTCAATTAAGGATATCTTTTAACATAAAAAGGTAAAGTGCCACTAAATAAGAGATGGTTGGTCTTTCAACCAAAATAATTCATACTCCTTGGGTTCCTTTTATTCTTAAGGTCAAAAACGACCACAGCCCAAGTTTACCGGTTTACCAAATACTTGATCAACCAATAAATACAATTTGTAACAACTTACACGACACAATGTCATTCCAACTCCATTGAGATTATCTTTAGTAGGATATAGTGATGGTAAAAATAGGTTAGAGATATTTAAAGTTCAAAAAACCCCGTTTATAACATAAAACTAGCATCCAATCTAATATCCCATAAGCATGAAATTCAATTAAAATAAGTGGTAGAAGGTCCAATGTGAGGAAGTTTTCGAGGAGATAAATTTTCGTGCAATCAATTCATATCTTTAATCATCTCTCTATCTCACTTTTCACGTTATACAAAAACTATTTCGTTAGCGAGGCGTTGGACAATAGAAGACTAATGCAATTAGGCTAAAACATGGAGAAAAATCGGTTAGGGGCTAGGCAATTTAGGCGCTAGGCGATGCCTAGGCAGATTTAGGGTTTTGTTGTGTTTAATTGTTTTATATTAAGTTAGAGACTTTTCTGGGTAACCTACCTAAAAAGAACCCATATTATTTCTCTCAACATTTTCGTGTTTTTCTTCTCTTGTCTCTCCACACATACGCTTTCTCACTCTCTCGCCTCTGCTCGTATCGACTCTGATTGTGTCTATGTTGTCTCTCGCAGATGTGGACGCCTAGACTCTCACGCACCAACCTGAACTCATTATGCAACCTGCTCAAACTTTGTGAGTAGGTTTTCAAATTTTTTTTGTTCTTTTTAGATTTAATCTTAATTTTCTTCATACTGCAATTGAATGGTGTTGAATTCTAATGCACGATCCCATTTACATGTATTGATTCATTAAATCATTGATTAATATGTGATGAAAGATGATGTCAATTTAGATTATGAATTATTGAATTTTTGATTTTGGTTTTGGGTTTGAGGTTTTTCTTATTTTTGTTGCATCAGTCTATATGATGATGCTAATGCCATTACGGCTTAAGTTTTAACTTTCCCAAATTCTCAATACAAGTATATTTTCTTTAGAGTGTAAGTAGGCACCTATTTATATGTTATGTACTAAAATTAATTAAATCCGCTTAGCCTGCCTACGAGCTAGATGTCAGCCCAACTATCGCCTGACGTCTTTTAGAACAGTGCTAAGCAGTTGTATTGAAAGGAAAAGGTCATCGTTTTTAGCCCATGTTCTATAAATATAAGACTTGGAAATATCATTCAGTGCAAGAGTTCACAAACATCTTCCTCTTTTAATTACAGGGCACCAATATTCTTAAGGCCAAGAACAACTCCAACCCCAATAATGTGACCAACAGAACCACAGGCCAATGTATCAGCAAGAGTAAACCCAGCTGGGTCGCCGGTCTGCAGCCCAGAGTCCCTTGTTTCAAGCTTCAATCCTGCCGTTGACTTCCTGTTTGCCGACGGAGCCAACCCGAATCTTCCGGCAAACAGCATTAGGCTTGTTGTGGTCACCATTATCTGTCCAAATCAAAATTGATTAGTAACTTAATCACATTAACATTCCGCCGTATGATCTGGTTTTTGTGCATATAATTAAGTGAAATATTTGCTTACCAAATTGGTAGGCGAGCCGATGTAATCGCAGCGAGCTCCCAAAGCGCCCTGGCCCTTGCGCCTCATCGGCTGAACAATTGCCTGAAAAACGAGGAACGCGTCAATTTAACATGCGCACTAGTTTGCCTCGTAAACGACTTGTAGCTCAAGCAGTTAATAACATTTACCCTCGACGTTCCACTAAATTCAAGACTACAACTACTCAAAAAGCATCTATACCCCTACGCATGTTACGCTCGATAATTTGTGTTTAACATCCGCAATGACGCAACGAGAAACAGGATAGACAGGATCGACGACAAACGTCAAATCGTAAACGTATATTCTACATCATGCCATGAAACACGTTGAAAAGAACTTACCATGCTTCGCGCATTGGAGAATGAGATTTTGGGTCTGAGGCCATTGAATTGTGGGAGAGAAGCGGTCACAGCGGCAGCTGCCATTTTCTGAATTTTGCTTTGCAATTTTCTGTCTCTCTTTTGTTTGATAATTTTATGAGCTTTTGCATCCCGTAATATTGTTATAAACTCTTTGAGCCACAGCCACACGAGCAACCTGTGGCTTCAGAGTTCCCAGATTCGGATACACCAGGATCCTTGCCTGCTGACGTGGCCCTGTGCCATTGGATGTGATCGTATTACTTAAATGGATAAGGTTCTGTGTGCTGGCGGCAACTTCTGATTGCGTTTGATTTTTGGATCTTCACATTTGGGCCTCGATTGGGCCAAGTTGGGCCGGACTGGGTTGGCCCTGAAGATTGAAATTCAAATCCAATCCATTGATGGACCAGCATTGAAGTTTTGAACAGAGACCGAGGGTAATATTGTCATTTTATGTGTATTGTTTATGTTAATGATGATTTGGTTTCCCAGGAGTCTAGGCCTATTAATTTATGTTAATGGTGATTTGGTTTCCCAGGAGTCCAGGACCTTTTTTTTTTTTGGGGGGGGACCCTCACATTTACGAGAAATTTTTAGTTGTGACGGGAATAAAGATGGTACACCACTACGTATGACGGTCATATTGAAAAATCTCTTTGTTCACCTCTGGATTTCTGTTTCTTGGGATTTGATTGGTTCGCTCTATGTGTTTGGGTAACCCCCAAAATCTCATTCTTCTTCTCAAACATATCATCTCTCAATATATCTTGAACAAATAATAAGGGTAATCTTGTCATTTCATGACATAAATTGTTTTCATATTTGTTCTTATATAAAATCTATCAAACGGTTAAGAACATTTATCTAATAATGCTCTATCTCAAATGGTCGTTACTCTCTTATTAGCAGTACTTGTTATTATAAGAAATGTGTCAGTAATGTAATAAGATATTTTGTTGTTGGACATGAATATTTGGTATGAGAAATGACAAAAACATAGGCAATGGAATGTCATTTTTTTGGTCATTATAACGGTATCTCAAGCCAATCATGCACTGTCATATAAGAAAGTAAGTTAAAATGCTTAACAAAACGTAATTGATTTAAAATGCCGCCACAATATCAATCCCCGATATATGAAAGACCTGGAAAAGAAAGGAAGATGAAATCTACAACGGGGGAAACATCATATTTCATGCAAAGTGATGGTTAGATTTAGAAGTACCCCCCCCCCCCCCCCCCCCCCAACAAAAAAAAAGACAACATGAATGAATACGTTTAGAAGAAGAAAGCAATCAGGCAAAAGGTGAAAATAGAGGATTTGATTAATTAGCGGGTAATAGATTCCAAAACCAAAAACAAAGATAGGGATAAAGCGTATTACGGTCACAAAACCCTAATCTAATCATGTTCTCATCTCCTGCTTTTTTTCCCCCACAGTAACAGCAAATGGCTTTTTGTACAAGCAGGTGGAATTTTGGCTTTTCTTGGCAGCAGTTTAATTAACCCCATCAAAATATCAACTTCCTAGATACAAGGGGAGTAAAAGGCAAGCAAGTTGCCACCAAAGAGAGCTGGGATTTTGCTTGGAAAATGGAGGTGCTGCAGAGCCTACAGATCTGTCAAAAAATAGGAAGAAAATGTGTGTATCAGTCCATGCGCATTTTGTAAATAACATAGACACTTGTATTTCAGACTACGAAAACTAAATCGTGCAGATGGAACAAGCGTACCCGGGCGCAGCATAGACGCATTTTCCATGACCTGTAATGTCATGAAACTGATCAGTAGAGCAGAATCGAAGGCATAGATTCGACACTTAAACGACAATATCATAGAGCAAAAACATTCTGGTAGAGTTTGTGCATCCCCGAACGGATATTACATTCTTGTTACTTATTGCTATGTGGAGAATCTAGAGATAACCATATACTCAAGAGATTAATCTGAAAACTTGGTAAGATTGCCAACCCTACCAAATGCTATCGAACTTAATGGCGGCTTCCCCCTTTAAGAACACTAGTGCAGGGTGAAAGGCCGACTTAAAAATCTGGGAAGAACTAGACCATTGGGGTTACAAACTCCAAAAGTGACATAACTGTACCTTAAAATTTCAATTTCAAAGCACAATAACTAAGGGCCAGTAAATAATTCATTTCATTGTTTTGACATGAAAAATCCAATTAGGTATGACCTTAAAAAATTGATCTCTAAGTTGTTCTAAGTTCGAATCCACGAGAAGATATTATAAGTGACCCGTTGTTACAGTAATTATTATAGGGAGAATGGGGAGATGTACAACTTACTTGGGTTAGTTTTAGTGACAGCGGCAGTTCCCCCAAAATTGCAAGCAATATCTGAATTCCCGTTCTGCTGATAAAAATTATTGAAAGCATAAGAGGCATGAGATACCAGAGTATCTGGTTCGTAACACGCTCCACCTTGTTGAATTGGCTTGCAGTCTGCCATTCCCAATCCACAGGCCCAGTCTAATGCATTCTGCAAATCGGCTTGGGAAACCCCGGGAAGGGCTACGCACCATGTTGTGCCATCAAGGAATGTTGTGTTCCCTTCTGGCGGTGACAATGTGGTGTCTGGTATTGCTCCATCTTGCAGCGCCACTTCCATTGATGAAACTAAAAATTTGCAGAAAGATCGAAAAATGTTTCATCAGGGTGACTTCATTGGTCATTGTTTATATAAAATCTAGCCGGGTCACGGACGGTTTGAGTTCATAAAATGATTGATCCTATTTGAAATTAGCTTAAACATATATGTGCATTGGTCTATCATCTGTGTAGCTCATCCAACATTATGTACAAGGTGGGTAGAGATTCAGTAAAATAAATCTTCAAGTTCAGGTAAACTACCTACAAACTCAAGCAACAAAACATAAAGAAAAGTGGATAGCTAACCCTAAACTTGAATAATACAAGGGAAAAAGTGGCCTAGAAGATCATGTGCCTCATGCTCACAAAGGATAGGAATTTCAGTAGGTTTGTTTGACTAGGGTATCTCTCACAGCGAGTGGAACCAACATAGAGTCGGGCGAAACCAATATACGGGGATATCATGTTTTTATGAGTAATACCCTACATTCCATGAAACATGGGTGCCTGCCTTGAGACTACTTTTCTTTTCTTTTTGGTTCAAAAATTGGTGACAGAAACAGAAGGGTTGGCCTACTTCCCAAGCAATTACATATTTTTCCCTAACAAAAAATCCTTCCCTTGCTTATAAAATGTAAGTGGTTATGGTAAATAAATATAAAAATTAAAACTTTTAGTACTAGATGAGAGCATGTTCATCCCTTTATCACATAAACTGTTGATGCAAATCTCAGAATGTTTCTCTCCAATATTTTTTAAATAAAATAATTCTGTAAGCTTCAAATGTCCATATTCAACTGTATGTTTTCTGGGAAACAGATCATAAAACAAATATATAAACCTGACCAGAAACTGCCAACTTCTAAACAACAAGATCTCAAAACAAAAATACAAAAACAAATAAATAGCAAGAAAAAATAACATAAAAACCAGAAAACTCCAAAGCTAGCTTTGCCTTAAACAGAAAACACGAAGGAAACAGGAGAGAAGTTACCCAGATGGCATCCCATGAGCAAAAGGCACTGCAAAACCAAAACCCATAGCTTCTTTCTCATGCTTGATGATAACATTCCTCACCCTTCTCCAACAAAACAAATAAATATATGAACAAAAAAAGGAAGAAAAAACCCTCAGCAGAAAATATACTAAATATAAAATTTAAAACCGAAAGCCCCACTACTCTCTCTCTCTCTCTCTCTCTCTCTCTTCTCTTTGTGTTTAAGAGGAGTGAGAAGCATTTGAGAATAAATGGGAGGTATAAATGCAAGGGTTTGTTGAAGAATCTGCAGTTTCTTGAGAGGAAAATTATTTCTTTTTCACTTTTTTCTTTCTTTTTTGTTTTAGAGCATTCAAGAGAGCGACAAATGCTTTCAGAAGCTGAGTTATTCACTCTGTACAACTCACTTTTGCAATATTTGACATTTCAGAGAGAGGCTTCAGAGTTCAAACGCCTAAAATATGAAAAACTTCATTCACAAGGTGGTGGTAGAGTGCCCTCCCACCCATAAAAGCAATATTTGGCTCTTGGTCTAATTTCTCAATTCTCACTCAATTTCTCATATGATATATTGTATCCATACCACCACCCCTTGGATTTTCTCGGGAATTTGCATGTTTTGTTGAGGTTATTTTTGTCCACCAACTTTGAAATTAAGGAAACCTACTGAGCAAGTACTGGCCGGGTTGAGTTCTGGGCTCAATTGGGTTTTGTTTTAAAGTGGCCCAATTTTGGGGACAGGGCCCATGATGTGGAAGATGAAGTCGGGTCTGGTGGGCTATGCTTTTGTATTTATAATCATTTTTTTTCTTTTTTTTTAAGGAAGCATTTTTGCTCACCATTATAAATTATGATGTATGCGATCATACGCATAACCATTCGCCACGTATGCTTTACTTAACTTTGGTAAAAAAAAATCAAAATTGAAAAAGAAAAATTTGTTGTGAAAGTTAAATAAAAGGTCATGTGGTAGATAATTAGGTGTACGGTGAGCATACACCATAGTTATAACGGTGAGCAAAAATACTATTTTTTTAATACATAAAATTTCCTAATAATTTGATAACGTTAATGAGAAACTTTTAAAGAATCAAAGTTTTACTAATGTTGGCGTAGTCATAATGGTTATAACATTTGAGTTTGAGTTCCCATCTTAGTAGTTTAGAGTTAGTTTAAAGTAGCATAGCACTTATATAGAAAAGAAACTCCCCACTTGTACTACGGTAATAGTCAAGTGCAAAGACATTTGGAGTTTAAGTTTTTTATTTTCTTCAAACCTAAACGTAGTTTTGATTGACATATTCATGTAAAAAAAACATATAGTCCTACTTACCTTTTTCCCCCAAGTGCATTATTAATGTGCTAGAAAAATTCTTTGTCTTTAGTTCTGATAAAATTATACCTATAAAACAAATAAACACCTTAATTAAGGTCAAACGTCAAAGCCTCACACACCCACATAAAAAGTAAAACTCTTACACAGTGCTTATGCCCACTCGAGGCACCTTAGTAGTGCTCGAGCATTGCTCAAGTGATCTTGAGATGGCTCGAGCACAATGAAGTAGCCTCAAAATTGTGCAAACATTTCTCGAGAGGAAGAATCAAATCGCTTTCCATTCTAACATGAATATTGATGTATATTAAGCATATCAGGGAAACTCCTTTGCTAAAATTACTCAGCACTCAGCACTCAGCACTTAGGCTTTGATGTTTACATATGGATATGTGATCGATTTATGAGCTAGCTAGTGTTTGGTAACCAACAACGTATACAACAAAAATTCATGTACAGGCTCAAAACTGAAAAGATATTATGAATTCAGTGGCTTTTTCTTTAGAGCTCAGGACCATTCAAACTACAGAAAGAAAAAATCATGGAAACCAATAAATAAAGGCCAGGGGACACGATAACCCTACAGATTTGGGGTTACAGAAAAATCTTGCTGCTGCATGATTCTTGCTGGTAGATTCAAACCTCTATTAAATTTTAGCAATGAGAAACACTGATAACCTGCAGATTTTGGGTCACATAAAAATCTAGTTTCTGCCTGATTCTTGCTAGTAAATCCACATTGCAAAATCCTCATTTAACTTGGAAAATATTACCACTCGAGTCATCTGAGGTAGTGCTCAAAGCCTCAAACCAATCTTATGGGAAATTTTCTGAAAAGTACCCAATTTAGGCATTTCAAAAAACTCTTAGGGCTCAAGTGGCTATATATCTTAATCTTGAAAGAAAATTCTTCTGCTTAATAACAATTTCGTTTTTAGTTGTTTCACATTTAAGATTTTGTTTTCGTGCATTATTCCTTATTTCTTGAGTCAAACTAATCAAACACTCTTATAAACCTATCATATTACCTTTATGGACTCATCATTTCACCCTTATAGACTTATCTTCTTTTGAGATTGATTGGTCTAGCCCTTAAATATTAAAAATCATTCAAACAGTCAAGTTCTGTTATTCCTTCCCATGACCTTTTTCTTCTGCTATTCATACCATATTTTTATACCACATTTTTATACCATTTTAGGTGACATTTGATGTGAACAGCAACATCATTTGAATTAATTAGATTTTTAAATTTAGTTCATTACTTAATAAACTAATAATTAAGAAAAACTAGTTAATTAAATGATGATTGTGGTATACGATGAGTCTTTCTCCTTCATTTCCTTGGATTTTGCAAATTTTTCAAATGATGTGGAGATATGGCTGTCCACATCAGATGTCACCTAAGGTGGTATAAATGTGGTATAAAAACATAGCATGAATAACATTACTCTTCTTTATATCTGAAGCACAAAATATTAATCCTAATTCTCTTAATCCTTCTCTCTCCCGTGACCTTTTTCATCTCTCATTTCCTTATATCTGAAGCACAAAATATTAACCCTAGTTATATTCAAATTTCTCCATCAACCTTCTTTTGAAAAATATGCTAACAACATACATGTGGCACCCACTTTTATGAAAAGAAAAAGTGCATCCATTCAACAACTTGCTACGCACACAAGTTGTGATTACAAATAAAGTTGACCAGTGAGCAGTGACCAGTTCCCAGTTTGATCTTGTCTGGGCTCAATGCTCCATCACCATTTAGTAGAATACCTGAGGCCAAATCACCAGCTGCAAATTGAGTCATTTGCAAAAATAAATGATATAATTCTGCAAAAATAAGATCCAACAATACATATAAAACGTTAGACAGCGGGACAAAGTCTAGCAGTTAGATGAGCAATCACAGCAGATCGAGCAGACATGGAAGCGACGTCAAGAGCTTCGGGAACATCAGGTGTGCATATTTTTATGGTACCAAGAAAGAGAGAATTCAACTTCCATACTTGGATTCCAAACCCTAGATTTTTTTTACTATTTTTGGGTTTTTCTTGATTCAGCCATTACGTACCACACACCATTAGGGTTTTAATCATATTTTTTTATTAAATTAGTAGACTATAGTACCGACTTAATATAATATATTCCCAAAAGTCTGTTTAATATTAAATTTGTGTCATAATTTTCAACTAATACAGCATTTTTTATATGCTTTGTTGAGGAAGAATTTGTCTGTGCCATATTTTGTCCGTTTGTCGGCCTATCAAAACAGCGGGAATATTGGTGGCTTGTTCACTGTGCTTTCTCATGCATTTTTCCGCTGTTACTTCCTTGAAATGGTCATTTGTTTAAAACTTTTAATCCTAATATACCATTATTGTTGCATCTTCCCACTACATTTCATGTATTTATATAATTACGTTGATTAATTTATTCACCATGCATTCCTCACACATATTAAACTCCTGAGGTTGATGTGAAAAGCATAATCTTTCTGCGGAAATCTCTGTACTTGTAGCATCTTAAGCTCCTAGCAATATTTTAATACATTACCCATTTTTAGTAAAATAGTTATGGTGGTTTGGACATGTGGAATGAATACATATAGATGCTCTGATTAGAAGATTAGATTATGAGACAAAGGCTTGAGACAAAAGGGGTAGATGAAGACTCGGAAATAGACTATAAGAATAGACATGGAGTACTTGGAGTTAACGGAAGACTTTACACAAAACTGATCATGGTAGCATTCTAGGATTTATACACTGAAACCACTTAGTGGAATAAGCCTTTGTTGTTGTTGTATGCACTTTTAGTAAAATACATTATTAATTATGCAAATGTGGGAAGAAAAATTAGGTCAGGGCAATTGATCTAGTTTCCATGAACCTTTATCGAATTACAGGTAGAATGGGGGACCGATAGGTTTAGAGCATCCAACACATTGAAAGGCTCTCTTATATATATGGTATGGATAATGATCAAAGCTTGAATGTGATGGGCATAGATATTTGTTTGCTTGATACTTTTTTGGTCTATTCCAACCAAGACACTAGTGATTTTATTTCCATCGGTTTTTTGTACTCTTAACAAGTTTAATCGATCAATTAGCATTTACAAACTACGACTTATGAATAATACTATAAACACCAACTGTTTTCTCAAATCTCTCAGACAATAAATGTTTCAAAAAAGTTTAGCCCCTTATATACATATTCCTACATCCATGGGCGGATCCAAGGGAGGTCCTATGCGTCACGGGACCATATGGAATTCGGAATATAAGGGTGAAACGTCGCCGGAGGACCCTAAGACTATCTGGTATGGGACTTGAGAGAATGCCCACAAATTATTTAATAAAATGCCTCTATGACAAAATTTGGCCGGCTTTAGCAGGTGATGCTCGACAAGCCTCGGCATCATGCCTTGGAAGTTGTCAACAAATATAAGCATAACAACATGCCTACCTAGGAAAAATGAAAAATAAATTTTGCGCTCAGTGCGTGGATCTTGTATAACGAGACTCTATGAGGTTAGAGTCTTGGATCCGCCATTGCATATATCAATATTATGTGATCGACAAACATAATTTTAAATACTATATGATATCATGTTGATATACCATACAGATAGCGTATCAACAACATAAATAAACAATGAAGATCTTACTATCGACCTCATAATAAAACATAAAATTGTCTTTGTCGATCAAGCAGCTATAATGGACATTTGAGACATTTAATGTCATAATTTTTACTGGTTTAGCAATTCTTTTTCACTTGTACTAGAACTGCACTGATTTTCCCAAACAGTTGTTGTCACTAGTACAAAGTGTGCCAATAATGCACAATTCATTATTTTTCCCTCAGTGAAGATGTGCATAAATTTTTTTTTTTTGAAACTTTTTTTGTATGGTTGATAGGATTTTGTCTCGTTCTCTTGTTGCAGAAGGAAATAGAGCATCAACTGAGAAATTTGTGACATTCAAAAACAAAATGCGTATGGTACAATTGATTGAGGTAGACTTGTC